TGTTTATACCTACCTTGTATTAAATGAAAGTAGATCAAAAATAAGTGATATATTTGACATAATAATTTTAACAGCTTACCACACTTAAAAAAATTCAATTGTTCTTCTATTTTACAAAAATTGATCAAAACAATGAAACTATATTACTACTCCTACCTTACTATTACCTTCCTACTCTCCCGAAGTAAATTCTGGATGCAGGAAGACCGAGAGTAATTGATGCGGATATGGAGGATGAAATTGTTGTGCGTGTTGCAGAAGATCCAGAAACCAGTACAAGCTTGTTTCTGCGGCCACTGGTATAAGCAAATCTACGGTGTCAAGAATAATACGGACAGAAATCTGTATCCGTATCGTTTTACTCCAGTACAGAATCTTTTATCACAGGATTTCCAGCAAGGCTCCGATTTAGTCAGTTTATGATGGGGCGGCATTTAGACGATCCAATGTTTTATAATAAAATTTTATTTACCGATGAAGCCACATTTACTAGAAGGGGTGTATCTAACTGGAGCAATAGCCTTACCTACGCGACAGAAAATCCTCATGCATTTCAAGAACATCATTTTCAACACGAGTTTTCCATAAATATTGGTGTAGCAAATTTGGGGATTGTATTGTAGGACCATTCGAATTACCAACTAGGCTTGACGGAGAGTAACGTATCTAAATTTTTTGAGAAAAAATTTACCAAAACTCTTTTAAAAGACATACCTCTAAATTTGAAACGGAACTCTTGGTACATGCGTGATGGTGCACCACCACATTATAGCCTAGAAATTATCTAGATGAAATTTATCCTCAAAGGTGGATTGGTAGAGGTAGTGTATACCCATGGCCAGCACGCAGAGACCGAACTAAATCCCCTAGAGGTTCACTTGTGGGGCTACCTAAAGTCACTTGTTTATAAAAAAAATAAATAACCGTCAAGAGTTGTGGCAAAATATTGTAGAGGGAGTTAACGTAATTAGGGCCCAAAGAAACTCATTATTTAAAATAAGACAAAACTTACACAAAACATTTAGATTATGTTAGTTTATCTAATGGTGCACATTTTGAACACTTATCGTAATTTTTTTTCGTTTCGTTTTGAATTATTCACTTTGTTAATTGTTTTATATTCACTTCATTGTTAATTTAATTTCTGATTTTTTAAAAATTTGTTACTGAGTTAAAGGTTTAATAAAAATAATTGTTTTAATCATATGCATTTTGTTTGCAAAAATTATCTACTACTAATACATTTAATATTCACTTATATTTAAGACCTTTTGAATAATGTTTGAATTTACATAAGTTTTTGTAAAATTTTTTTTATTTTATGCACGTCTCTAAAAATACGTTTATTTCGAAAACGGTGTACTTTTTTGATTTGAAACAAGAATACCTTTTTTGTGTAGAATTGAATGGTATTTCATGTTTTTTCCTAGAATGTTTATACAGGGCGGACAAAAAAAATTATGGCCCCATTAATGAACCAATGTTATAGTAGGTGGAGTCACGTAGTGTCATCGGTAAAACTAATATCATTTTCATATTAAGCATACTAAATAATAGCAAGATACCAAATTTTACTTAAATCGGTTAAATAGTTTTCAATATATCCATAAAAATATATAAAAAAAATATTAATGAATCACCCTGTAGAACGAAAACTAGCAACATTTTGCCTAAGCAATTTGAGCTCAAACGCTTTATTTTGATGTCAGCTATCACCCATTAGCTAATGTCCAATTAATTATGGGACACCCTGTATAACACATGCGTTAATTACCGCCAAATCTAAAATATTATAAAATTAGCAAAGTGACCACCTTCTAGTTCCTCTGTTGCAGGAATAAGCCGACGCTAATTTATCTGTTGTATCTAAACCTCCTTTGGCTCTATTGTATTCTAAAATAATGTCTGGTTTCTTATGTTCTTGCAATGACACCTGGTCATCTAAATTCATTCAGGACAAAAGAATAACATATTTACCCTTTTTAGGACTATATGAAACTAAAGTCATATTCTTCTGAAACCCAAAAATTGATGATAGGGCTTCTTTACTTTTATTTGGTAGAGATTCAACTTTAATAAAAGTTTTGTTCTTTCGTAATGTTCCAATTAGTGTTAGTTTGCGTTGTAATAATTCAGTCGCTAAATGGAAGTCAGCAAAAAAATTATCCGTGGTTATGTTTCGCCCAGAATTCTGAACATCTATAAGTCGTAAAATCACATTTCTGCAATGATGTACGTCACGGGGCTGATTTTCTGCTTTTCCTGTATATATTTCTACATAATACACATACGCATTTTTGACGTCAGATAAAAGCCATAATTTAATTCCATATTTCCCACGTGGTTTTGTTGGAATATATTGTCTGAAGGGACAGTACCTCTAAATGGTACAAGTTGTTCGTCGACAGTGAGGCTTTCATATGGAACAAACATTTTGGGAAGTTGTGCTACAAATAAATCAAAAAAACTTCTAATTCGAGCTAACTTGTCGTGCCTCCGTCGAATAGGTCTATTCTCTTTATTATCAAATCGCAAAAAGCGGCTGATGTTACAAAATCGTTTCAAAGACATAGTTGCTCTAAAATGTGCCTACCATCAGAATTGCTCCAAAGTTCCTATAGAGATTTTCCGGCACCTTTATGAAAACTATCCAGAGAAGTAAACCTTGACTAAAAATGCATAATTTCAAGTTAATTTATTTTATAACTGTAATGAAAGTATTTACCTATAAAAGCTTCTAACTCTTCCAGTGATATTTCTTTTACAGTTAACATTTTTTCGTTACATACGCGACCACGTTCTGTGTTAGTTTCCACTAAGAGTAAATTGAGCATTTCATCAGTGAAAAACAATCTCATTGAAGATATAGGTTCATCGGTAATTCGTTGAGTGGCATATCTGGTGGGACCTGGCACAGGATTTAGTATATTGATAGATCTAAACAATATACAACGCAATTAGTAAAACCCACAAATTTAGTAAGAAAATATGTGTAGCACTTGAATCATCACTTACCTTACACATGACTGAGGTGGTGGATATTTGTTCCAAACTGTCACATCGCGAGCAGTATATTGTAAATCTTTTTGTTCAGGAACTTCTATTTCATTTTCCGAATTTTCGCTTTCATCTTTGTCATCATCAACCGTAGATAAATGATCTTCTTCAGAAAATTCTTCATCTACTAACTCTTCATCACTAGTGACGGTTTCTAAATTGGTAGATTCATCTTCATTTTCTGAGTCTTCTTCAAGGATTTTTCGTAATTCCTCTTCCGCAAGTCCTCTCCTGGAGCTCATTTTTCAGTAAGCGCTTATTATTCTATTTTTCACAAATGTACACCATACTCTCAACTCTAAACTTTAAACGATCGAGTGTAGTACAACACTAAATATACTCGACAAATGCTTCCGAAACTAGAACCCATAAAATCTAATCACCCTTCTCAGAAAAATAAACAAAACAAATATCACGTACATTTGGAAACACTTCTGGGTACAGGTGGACCCATAAACAACAGATGTGTTTCTTTCATTTCGAAGAAAACCAAACTGATATTTCAAAACGCAAATACGTTAAATCGTATATAAACCTTATCTTAAGGATATCATGAAACATCACGTCTCAAATTTACGATATAATAAATATATAAACATTTGAATTTTACTACTGGGTCCAGGCGTACCCAGAGACAATACAAATGTTAAAAAACACAAAGAGTTCAGCAAATTTCTATGACAGAAAATAAAGAAAAATTAAACACGCGGACAGTTTCTTAGGTTTTTTTGCTGAATACACTCCTCACAGGCTACAATATGATCCATACATAACCAACATTTGCAAAATGTGCAAAACTATCGGGTTTTCTTTTTCTTGAAGTGTTTGCAATGCCCTCTTTTACCTGGTGGTGGCTTAGGTCGCTTTTGTGTCGGCATTTTGAGTAAATAAGCCAGTTTCTAGGTACTTTTTCATTATTCGTTAACTTTTTTACGAAGTAAGTAGAGCTAAAAGATCTTTTTTAAATTATTTACAGGATAAATAATGTTTTTTAATTGTACTGGACGTATGGACTAGTGATGTAACAAATGTCATTTTTTAAACATTCGCGAATGCGAATGTGAATGCGAATGTGAATGCGAATATATGCCACCGACATTCGCGAATGCGAATGCGAATATTCAGTTTTTTCTTAATTGGCAATTTCAATTGTCTCCGGCAGTCTCATTTGCGCGAGGTGTGTAGGCAATTGGAAAAAGTCTGTCATTTTTAACTGCTTTAAATTGTCCAGTATCACTCTATCATATTTGCTAAAGTAAAGATGTGAAACAGTTGTATTTATTGTAAAGAAGTTTATTGTAGGCGGTTAAGTTTATTGAGGGGTCGTTTAAAAAAGGTATTTATTTATAGTCACGTCCGGGCCAAAAACGTAGAAAGCACGTTTTTTCGATCTTATTTTCTCTTGTTATAATCAAATTTGACTTGTTATAGAGAGAAAGTTATAGCAGAGAACTAAGTTCTCTGGTTATAGTTCCAATAAAAATTTCACAGGACACAAGTCACTCCACTTGCCCTGCTCTGCTCGTGCACAAATACAAGTGAATTTTAGTTAAAGTGTGATTAGCGATTTATTACTATGAGTAAATCAAATTATAGTGAAATATGGACTTATTTTTCACCACTTTTCGATACTAAACGAGCTAAATGCAAGCTGTGTAATATTCGCAAAACATTCGCACAAATATGCGAATATTCGTTACATCACTAGATGGACCTCAAATTATTAGTCTAACAGTATCTGTCAGTACTTCTGACAAAAAGCTGGATCTTTAAATTGCTCTCCACTTACATCAATGTATGCCGTTTCGGTTTGCGTATTATTTGATCAGGGAGTAGTCGTTGTATCCTGGTTCAGTGTAATGCTTTCTAATAACGAATTTATTTATAACAAACTCTGCTTACGTCTTTGTTTAAACAACTTCAATGATCTTCTTTTATTGCAGGAGTAAACAATGGTTCTGCCAACTCCAACTGGAACCGGTCACGCGACACTCGCAGTGTGGAACCTTCCGGCCCTCCGGGTCGAAACTACAACGAAAAAATTCAGTCAAAGCCACCGAGTGGTAGAAGACACAGTTTAGTCGGAATGGATCAATTTTATAAGATGCCGCCAAGGTAAGTATTTTTATATCACGTTTCTTCAGTGAATATACCTGCAATGACGGACAAACAAGTGTAAAAATCTTGAGGAGAGACATTATTTGGAAGCAGGCTTTTTTCAATGTTCAGTAGTTAACTGCTTTTAGTTCAGTAGCTAAGTTCTTTTATAATCCACAGTTAACTACATCCTTCTATTTAATATTTTTCACAGAAAACTAGATTTTTACAGCACAAAAATTAGCTCCCAATAGTGTATGACACTTAGCATATGCTGATGACATTGACATAGTAGGGCGTAGCAAGCGAGATGTTGAGCAATATCTCCTGGAATTGGAAACAGCGGCGAAACAGGTCGGTCTAGTCATCAACGAAGACAAAACCAAGTACATGTTGGTTACAAAGGATCCGATAGCAAATGAGGAATGAGAAACAGTCTTTGGAAGTCATACCTTTGGACGTGTTGACAACTTCACATACCTTAGGTCGCTATTGACTGCTACCAATAAAACAAGCGAAGAAATCAAAAGACGAATAAATCTTACAAATAGGGCATACTATGGACTCCAAAAGCATTTCCACTCAAGAAACATTCAAAGAAGAACTAAAATTATTATATACAAAACATTGTTGAGGCCGGTCCTCACATATGGAGCAGAAACATGGACACTAACGCAGAAAGATGAAAGGCTTTTGGGAATATTTGAGCGTAAAATACTCCGCAATATATTTGGAGCTGTAAACGACCAAGGGCAGTGGCGCAGAAGATATAATTTTGAATTGTATCAGCTCTTTGATGAGCCAGATGTCATAACGTTCATTAAAACACAGCGACTTAGATGGGCTGGACACATAATACGAATGCCAGACAATACCATTGCTAAAAAGCTAACCACAGGAACACCTGTAGGAAAAAGAAGTAAAGGCCGACCGCGAATTAGGTGGTTAGATGGAGTAGAAACCGACTTACGAATATTAAAAATCAGAAAATGGCAACATGTTGCCAAAAACCGAACAGAATGGCGACGAATCTTAGAGCAGGCCAAGATCCACAGAGGATTGTCGAGCCAAAGATGATGATAATGATGTGTATGACACTACACTCCTAGCCTCTAGTCCAGAAGAAATAACCAACTTATTAACAAAACTTGAGGTAAAAGTTAACTACAGTTAACAAAACAAAAAACAATGGTTATTGATCGCCAACAACAGTTTCCTTAAACTGGAAATATGGCGGGATGCGAGTTAGTTTCCTCTATGATATATCTTGAAGCTCTACTAGTTAACAACACAGGCAGTTATAAACCCGAAATTGAAAGACGCGACCAATGGAGAAGTATCATTGATCAGACTATTCGAGCTGATGAAGCTTAATGTTGAACTACAACACATCTGCCAAAATGTTAATGGCTATGTTAATGACAAAATGTTAATGATGATGTGTGTGCATGTTACTTAATACATTTTTTTTTCACTGAGGTGGAAAGGTTGTAAACCGACTAGGGAACACATGCTAGGACATAGCATCCAAAGTATGGATTATATGCGCTGCATGCCGCACCCTGACCAGTCGCCTACCAACTAAAACCACCCCTTCTACGGACAAAGCACCCCTGCATGAGTTAACCGAGGAAACCTAGTCAGATTGAATTATCCCGCACACTCATTGAAGATATACGTGGAGCTACATTATATTAAACTTTTCTATTTAATATACAGGGTGAGTCATGAGGAACTTTACATACTTCTACCATATGTAGAGTCCCTCAGGGAGCATATCATGTGGCCACTAAAAATGTCAACTCCTTTTCTTTATTAATTAACAGGGTGATTTGTGTAATTTACCATTTATTTCATTTTACTGTAGTGTTTATACGGCTCATTTGATTTTTTTAATTTTTGCATGATACAGTACACTACTATCAAGCATTCGACTGGTATTAGCTAAACTAAAAAATTCCAGGACTGGCTTTGGAAAAATTAATTTAGGGATTCGTATTAAATATTACACCTGTATATATATTTTTTAAAATGCAATAAGTGATTTTCAAACTACATAAATAGCCAATGAAAACGACATATGCGACAATGTTGTCGCACTTTTATTAAATTTTTAGTGAACGATCAAATCTTACCAAAAATAGAACAACCATAATGAAGTATCTAATTATAAGGTATTAATTTAAACAAATGTTATAAATTTCAAACATTTTAATTAAAATGAGTTCCTACAACATAATCGATAGAATCAATTGTTTTTCAATTTTAAATTTTTACTCATAGATCGTATTGGGGCATTATTTTCGATAAATAATAAATTAAATTGATTAAAAAGTCAAACCTCTTGTATGTGTTAGTTTTTGTTGATTGTAAATGATTAAAATTTTATGTCAAATAATAATACATTGCATCAACTGTACTAAATAAAAATAAATCTAAAAAAGTTTAAAATGAAGGTTGGTGTTGACCGTTTGACGTTTCTTGATATTTTATACCCATTGTCATTATTGTCATTATCAATTGTTATTTATGTGTACAAGAATACATATTTCTTCTGTCATATCTACGTTAAGTACATTGTGTTAGTTTTGGTAGAGCTTTTGTAACATTCGTTCAAAATACGACATCAGTTTTCGACCACAGAATATGCAGACATAATATTTGTTTATGGATTCTGTAATGGGAATGGTAGGGCTGCTAGTAGAGAATATCGCAGGAGATATTCGGTCCTAAGTTCCTAATCGTCGAACTCCCAGTCATCCAACATTTAAGTCAGTTTTTAATTATTTGCGAGATGTAGATGAAGCGCAGGAAGATGACATTATGGACGCCGTTACTATGAACCCTACAATAAGCACTAGACAAGTAAGTCGACAACTCAATGTTACTCAATCAAAAGTAAGTAGTCTTACAAAAAAATAATCTATACCCATATCACATTCAAATGGTTCAGCGACTACATGCTGGAGATGAGATCGATAGGTTGGAATTTTGTAGATGGATTAACAATAATCGACCAACGCTATACAGGACACTATTTACAGATGAAGCCCAATTTACCAGAGACGGGATAAATAATTCACGAAATTCACATGTGTGGGCAGAAGAAAATCCCCATGCTATTCGAGAACGTCGTTCTCAGTTAAGGTTTTCGGTTAACATGTGGATTGGTGTCATAAATAACCAATTAGTAGGTTCTTACTTTTTTGATGGTCCTTTAACAGGGCAGGTCTATTTGAACTTTCTACAAAATATTTTGCCGAATTTGCTTGAAAACGCGAACGTTGCTATCAGAGGGATGTATTTTCAGCATGATGGGGCACCCCCACACTTTTTGCTGGCAGTGAGACAACATCTCAATAATGTTTATGGCAACAGGTGGATAGGACGTGCAGGTCCTATTTCGTGGCCTTCAAGATCCCCTGATTTCAATCCCGTTGATTACCATATTTGGGGACGATTGAAGCAACTAGTTTACGCAGTGAATATTAATAACCGACAACAATTAATTGATAGAATTATACATTGTTGTAATACTATTAGAAACGATCCCCAGAGTATCCGCAATTCAATACGTCAATTAACAATTCGGCAACAAAAATGTGTACAGGCTGCAGGGTTCCATTTCGAAAATCTATTTTGAATTATTTTTATTTTGTTACCATTATTGTATCTTTTCCAGTTCTAATTTATGGGTTTATCATAACTATGTACATATTTTTTAGTTTTTTTTTAATTGTTCTTCGTTATTGTTAGTATTTACTGTTTTTTGTTGTGCATTGACTCAGTTTATCATTTCAATTAAAATGTTTGAAATTTATAACATTTGTTTAAATTAATTACCTTATAATTTGATACTTCATTATGGTTGTTCTATTTTTGGTAAGATTTGATCGTTCACTAAAAATTTAATACAAGTGCGACAACATTGTCGCATATGTCGTTTTCATTGGCTATTTATGTAGTTTGAAAATCACTTAGTGCATTTAAAAAAAATATATATACAGGGTGTAATATTTAATATTTAATACGAATCCCTAAATTAATTTTTCCAAAGCCAGTCCTGGAATTTTTTAGTTTAGCTAATACCAGTCAAATGCTTGATAGTAGTGTACTGTATCATGCAAAAATTAAAAAAATCAAATGAGCCGTATAAACACTACAGTAAAATGAAATAAATGGTCAATTACACAAATCACCCTGTCAATTAATAAAGAAGAGGAGTTGAAATTTTTTAGTGGCCACATGATATGCTCCCTGAGGGACTCTACATATAGTAGAAGTATGTAAAGTTCCTCATGACTCTTCTTCTTCTTCAGATGCAAATCCACTAATGGATGTTAGCGATCACATTTTCCATTAATTCTCTATTTCTTGCAATATGTATCAGAGATTGTATGTCGTTAATCCCTGTCCATTGCCTTATGTTTCGGAGCCAGGACATTTTCTTGCGTCCCATTCCTCTCTTGCCTTCAATTTTACCCTCGATTATAAGTTGGAGGAACTGGTATTTTTCATTTCGCATGATGTGACCTAGATACGCCGTTTTCCTTTTCTTGATGGTTTCGAAAAGTTGGCGTTCTTGGTTTATTCTTTTAAGGACATCTATATTTGTGATTTTCGCTGTCCATGGTATTTTTAGGATACGGCGATAAAGCCACATTTCGAAAGCTTCTAATCTGTTTATATCCCTCGTTTTGAGTGTGCAGCCCTCTACGCCATATAGTAGCACTGACCATACGTAGCACTTAGTAAATCTTAGTCTCAGTTGAAGATCGAACTCTGAACAAGTCAGTACCTTCTTGAATTTTACGAAAGCTTGTCGAGCTTGCTCAATGCGACATTTTACTTCCCTGTCCGATGCCCAGTCTTCAAAAAGCCACGATCCCAGGTATTTAAATTTACTCACTCTTTCAATGGACTTAGTATTCAGTGACTCATGACTCACCCTGTATAAATATAGTCGATTATTTACATACTTGCTTTAATTAAGGTTTTTATTGAGGGACCCTCTTGAATATTTTAGTAAAATTTAGTTGTCCTCATTTCCCTAGATTTAATCCGTTTCAAAAAAGTGTTTCCCTAGCATCCACACATCAGTTATCCCTAGTTCTGAGGGAAAATCCTGACATCTGGCATCATTGGGCTGACGTAAACTATCAATGGGAATAAATTGCTTATAAGCAACTGCGCAAGTCATCATTATTTATCTATGGGCAACAGCGCCACCGAATGTGTTAACAGTGGAGCCACAACTCTGTTATTACTTACTTCAAGTTTTTTTTGTGGATACTTTTGTAGAGTAGAACCAAGAGCTCCAAGAATATATAGTTTGTATGATTATTAGTACCATAGAAACTTCTTTTGTACTATTTTTATTCATTGTGCTTATATAAACCAGTAATGCTTGCACTTTTGCTTACCAAAAATTATGTTGTAGGTTGCAAAAGAAATATTTAGAAGAAAATAATATCAAACTACCACCTCCGCCTCCGACGGAAGAAACTAATTGGGACGGAAGTAGCGTCACTTTTCAGAAAAATCCAAATTATTCTCAAATGGGAGGTGCTTACTATACACTGCCCATGTCACCAGCTTCCCATCACCATCAAAACGTAAGTTATATGTTAAAGTTTCTACGATGTCAGTTGGACAAGTATAAAAACAAAATTCGACACTCAAGTGTCCGCGTCTTTAGTAAAACATAGGCGGCGCAATAGATATTAAATAATAAACTTTTATTTTTAAATTAAAGTCTAGTAAGATAGGTCTTAAACAGTAGGTAATAATATTGTTAATTATTCACATTTCTTTATGAACTTGACACCAAAGATGATTAAAAGTTAATACACATAGTCCATTCACTAACGGTAAAATATTGCAAAACCTCTAAATTTTAAAGAACCACTGGAATTGACATGAAATTTGGCATACACATATAGCTAACGTGTCAAAGAAAAAAAGTGATATTGTGCCGATGTGTATTTTTGCTCTGGGGGTGGGTACCGCACCTTCTCGGGGGTGAAAAGATATACATCCAAAATAAGTCCCGAAGTGAATAAACTGACTAATTCTAGGCAACTTTTGTTCTATAGAGGTTTTTACTAAATCAATACTTTTCGAGTTATTTGCGAGTGAATATATTCATTTTTCAACAAAAACACCACGTTTTTGGACGATTTCTCGCAAATAACTCAAAAGTATTTTATGGAAAAAATGTTCTTAGCAAAAATACAGTTTATAAAAAAGTGAAAACAATGGTATATGTATGAAGTCTGTATACTGAGCAGAAGCAGAGTTATAGCTAATGAAAAATAGATTCTTACCTATTCGTCAAATTCCATATCGAATAATTCAACGTGAAATAATAAAAAAAATGTTTTTTTTACTTTTTTTTTTAAATTGTTTAAAGAAATCTTTATTTTTGATTTTTAAAAAAGTTTCTAGCATCAAATGTAAGCAAGTTACGCTCAAAATAAAGTTGATCCCTTTTTTTGGTAAAAAATAATCATGAATATGATCTGTAAGTTTCATCGGTTTAAAGAGCTTATTTTTGAAAGATACTTACATGAAATCGGCCAATTCGTCTTCCAGTCGAATTGTCTCTTAGGTTATAGATTATAGTGTATTTTTATGTATGAGCGAGTAATAAAACAATAAATTATGTATGCAAATCCCTAAACTGTTGATACGGGTGACTCAATGAAAAACAGATATTTGTCAACAAGTTTACAGAAGTATATAGGAAAACAATTTTAAATTGAGTATGACCACCAGGTATAAAGGTTGGAGCAGAATAGAATACAATAGTTGTGAGGGTTACTAATCCCTAAATAAGGTTGCCAGTGTAGGAGTGATGGAGGTTAACAGGTACTAATGAATTTGCAAGAAATGTAAGATGTTTATTTTATTGGTTATATATAACCAATAAAAGTTTAATAAGTACCTACCTATTTGCAAAATAAAGTTTAATTCTTTAGATAAAATAAAACGTTTTATTTTATCTGAAATGAGTGCATTCCACGAAGTAAGGGTTTCAACAATCAAACATTTAATTCTTTAATTCCAGGAATATACGACAGTAATTGACTAGATAATTACCTTCTAAACTTATTCCACAGAAAATGTGATAGTGGGTTTTCCATTTTATAGGAAGGTTCAAGTGGCGTATTCAAAATTCTTAACAGTTCACTAAAAGTAGGTACTTCAGTTGCAAGGTGCAGTTTATTGTGTATACTAGTGTTATGGAAAATTTGGAAGTGCCGTGTAAACGCCGAAAAATTGGTCCTTAAACAGTTAATGAAAAAACATTAATATTTAATTGTTTTAAATCATTTACAGACAAACGTTTATGTGAAAGTGTTGATGAGACCGTTGAGTTAGTTAGCAGTACACTTGGTGTTGGGAAATCTACGATTTACAGAGTTATTAAAGAAGAGAAAAGTGGTAGTTTTCAAATGCCACGTAATGCTCCAGGGAAACCAAAATTTCAAATAGAATATCATTTTAAAGAAGGACTTCGACGGAAAGTGCATGAATTCTTCTTTAGACAAGAATTTCCAACATTGGATAAAGTTCTTGTCTCAGTTCGAGATGACCCAGAAATGAGTCGAAGTACGTTATGGAAACTTTTAAAAGAAATAGGCTTCCGCTGGAAAAAGAATCCCAGAAAGTCTATTTTATTAGAAAGAAGCGATATTGTCATATGCAGACGACATTTTCTAAGAACCATAAAGGAAATGAGAAACCAAAAAAGAAAAATATTTTATCTTGATGAAACATGGATCAACGAGGGTCATACACCAAATAAATTTTGGCAGGATGAAACTGTTACAAGTCAAAGGCACGCTTTTGTCAATAACTTATCTACTGGTTTAAACCCACCATCAGGAAAGGGACGCAGGCTGATAATAGTACACATTGGCAGTTCAGACGGTTTTGTTGAAGGTGGTTTATTAACTTTTGAATCAACTCGTACCGGTGACTACCATGAAGACATGAACGCTGATGTCTTTCAAGAATGGTTCGAACAAATGATAGATCTTCTTCCTAAGAACTGTGTAATAGTAATGGATAATGCAAGTTATCACTCCAGACTTATAGAAGGACTGCCCACAACCAAGTGGTTAAAAAAGACTTGCAGAATTGGCTGAGTTCAAAAAATATTACGTACCATCCGGATCTATAAGAAAGGAACTTTATTCGTTGTGTGCCCTTCATAAAAAAAAATTAAAAAAATACGAAATTGATGAAATTGCCAAAAATCGTGGAATGACAGTACTTAGATCCCCACCATATCATTGTGAATTAAACCCGATTGAACTGGTATGGGCACAGATAAAGAGTGAAGTTTCAAGAAAAAATACCACTTTTAAAATTCATGATGTTAAACAGTTGTTTTTGGAGGCCGTAAATAATGTAAAACCTGAAAACTGGGAAAAGGCAGTAAATCACACTATTAAAGAAGAGGAAAAAAATGTGGAAGCTGGACAATATTACTGATAAAATGATCGAGCCAGTTATTATAAATCTTGGTTCTGAAAGTTCATCTTCTGAATCTGATTTGGATTTGTAACAAGTAGCTGAAAGTTTTGTATTAATATTTTTATTCATCTATTTAACATACCTTAGACAGTTTTAAAAACTCTTTTTCTCTTTTGTAATTTTTAAAAATTAAAAAAATGTGAATTTTTTAAAACCCTTTTTAATGTAGGCCAGTCAGTTCTAATATAGTGTGTGATAAAAGAGGTCACTTTTGTTTACATACACATAACACTTTATAACACTGAAATAATTCATTTATTTTTTACAATTATTCAAAGTAATTTTTCAATTAATCTTGAGCACGCCCATGGAGTGGTCGAAGGTACCAGTTAAAATTATGCTAATTACTCTCTCGTTCATAGAAATAAACTATAATGGAGAGATCACATTTACTTCGATACATAGAACATATTGTTGACAAGTTGTGGAAGTCTTTGTAGAAATATTCAAACAATTAAACACTATCACTATCCGTGTGTCCAGAACTTAAGTCGTCGTTTGTGTTTATAACTACCGGTTCAATTGGTGGTAAAGTAGGATATTCTTTTTCTTTTACTTGAACATGCGCTACACAATCTTTCCAAATGTCAGTTTTGTTAAGTTCTTCGATCACTGTTCTTATATTTTGGACAACAACGTCACTTAATTGGGGAGATTGATTCATTTTCCGCAATTTCTTTTTTACATCGGCCCATATCATTTCAATTGGGTTGAAAACACAATGATATGGAGGGAGCCGTAAAACCGTATGCCGTGGCGTTCAAAGAGTTTATCTATTACATATTCTTTTTGAAAATTTTGTTGCTTAATTAATTGCAACAATTCCTTTTTGGTACATTTACTAGGTGTTGCCAGGCCTTTGTTTCCATAAATTCTATGATATCCTCTTACAAGAGGATATCATAGACTAAGAGCTAAGCTAAGCATATCATAAAAAAACTAAGAGCTTTGGGTATTTTAGATCCCCTTCTTCAGTGGATTACAGAATTTGTTAGTGGCCGTACGCAGACAGTTAACTTGGGAAGTGACACTTTAATTGAAATAACAGTTCCATCAGGCGTGCCACAAGGCTCCCATTGTGGCCCTGTTTTGTTTTGCTTGTTTCTGGTTGATTTAGTACAACAAATCAAAAATTGTAGTGTTCTTATGTTTGCTGACGATGTAAAACTGTTTAGAAAAATTCAATCCTGGAATGATGCTGTTATATTACAGGAAGATCTTAAATCGTTTCAAACAAATGTCATGAAATGACATTCTCGAGGCAAAGAAATCCAATTACATTTGTTTACTACATAAATAACTTGCCATTAGCCTCGAAAAATGAAGTATTAGATTTGGGAATTTGGTTAGACACCAAACTGTCATTCTCAAGCCACATTAACCAAGTAACAAACAGAGCGATGAAAGTGCTGGGATTTATCCAACGCACATCTGTGGATCTGTCTTTATTTACATTTAGAAGACTTTATTGTGGTCTCGTTAGGCCCATTCTTGAGTTTGGATCAGTTGTATGGTCCCCATCATACCACTGTTACATTCAACAGATTGAAAGAGTCCAGAATAAATTTTTGAGGGTAGCAGCCTATAAGAGTGGATACAGGAGAGAGGAATACGACTATCAGTGGGTAAGAGATAGTCTTAACTTACCAACACTTGAGTCAAGGAGGACATTGTTAGATTTATGTTTATTACACAAAGTTATCAATGCTTTTATAGATTGTCCTCAACTCTTATCGCTTGTTAGTCTTAAAGTTCCTAGTAGAAGCAACAGACAATCAGAAATCTTTTCGGTGCCATTTCACCACACTAATTATGGTATCAATGAACCAACTACACGATTGGTCCGGAGTGCTAATAGTTTGCCAAGACAAATAGATATTTTTGACTCCAAAATTAGTTTGTTTAAAAAACAACTAAAAAATATCTTACAATAAGTTGGTTGTACATCTGTATTATTCTTATATGTTTGTATTATTCTGAGGTGTTTGTTATTTTAATAATTTATTGTTGTTAAGGTGTAACTTTTTAAAACTTGTGATTGTTATTTTAATAATATATTGTTTTTAAGATGTAACTTTGTAAAAATTGTAAGTAAATGGATGCCGTATATAAATAAATAAATAAATGATATCTCCCTTCTTGGAGCTAGTATTTGGAATTTTGGTGTAGAGTCTAGAATGGTATGACGCATTGTCCATTACTATCACGGAATTTGTTTTAATATTCGGTAACAGCTGTTCCGTTGCCCAATACAAATCAATATCTTGACTTGTATTTTCCAGTGCTCTTTTGCTGTAATTTATAATATAGATATATTTTAGGTTACTAGATCCAAACAGGCTGTCAGCCTTGTGGAAGGAGACCCAACAACGGCACACTCATTTAATTTTAATCTTCATTCTTGTTGTAGATGCATTTCGGATCAAATACACTACCCGGCAAAACGAGAGGTAGAGGAAGGCTGAATTACGAACAAGAAATGCCTCCACCTGGAACGCCATTTGACTCAATGACACCAGATAGAATTAGAAGCCCCGCCAGCTCCCGACCTTGTTCACCGCCGTCCGTCAGAAGTCCCCAAAGCAGGCCCTTGACTCCAGTCAATGACTATTCAGACAATAGACGAGGACCAAGGAGACACGATGATATGGCGACTAAGGGACAAGATCGAAGAGATAATCAAAGAAGGGAATATGGTCCTAGAAGGTTTGTATTATTACTTAATTTCTGTCCTTCTATGTATTAAGTACATAATATACAATATTAAAAACGAACCCTTGACAAAAAAGTAATTGAAGCAGACCTTGGAAGCAGCCTTCCTTTTTGCGAATGTTTAGCACTCCCTCACAAGAAATTCATAATATCCTAACATACATAACCTAGTAAATACTTTAACAATAAAAATTAAGGAATCAATGAAACTAAGAATAAAACCCGCAGCAGCTGCTGAAGACGTCATAAAGGTAGACCCTACAGAAACAATCTTCTTCTTTACGTGCCATCCCCGCGAAGAAAGTTGATAATGATAATCACTGCTATTCAAAATTTTAACACTAGAGGGAGAGTGAGACAATGATAGAGGGAGAGTGAGACAATGATAGAGGGAGAATGAGACAAAGATATAGGGAGAGTGATACAAAGATAGAAGTAGAGTGACAGAAAGATAAGAGGGAGAGTGAGACAAAGATAGAGGAAGAGGAAGGCAAAGATAGAGAGAGACTGTAACGACAATATTTTGCTTACCTCAGGTTAAGAACATGAGGGGTAGAAGATTGGGCAAACAAAATAATCGTAACAAGTGCTAACGACACTCAGTTGGTTGTTGGAGAGCTGGGTCGTGGATAAGTTGAAATATGGGGGTTGGATTGGGGTATCTACTAAAATGAAGACAAAGGGATACTTACATAAATCTCCTGGGCAATTGTTATAACAAACAAATCAAAAATAGATTGGGAACACCTCAAGAAATTTAATATAGGGCGCCACTTGAAGGATCCTAGTTTACTGAAGGAAAAAAAAATTCTTCCTTAATTTCTAAAATACATAAAAAGGGTTTAGGAGATTTTTCTAAATAAAAATAAAAAATAGGTTAGAGAAACAAATCTAACGTTTTTTATTGTCTTAAACAAACAGTTTTTTAAAAATACAGCTTATACAAAAGGCATACTATATAAAAATAGTTGTCAAATACAAATAAAGAAACTTACATGTTATCTGTTTACAAAGAGGTTACAAAAACCTTCGAAATGGTTCCTAGTAAATAACGTGGCCAAATTAGATTAAAATTTTATGGATATCCTTTTGTGAAAAATAAAATTTAATCTTTACTATAAAATCAAAATATCTTTTACAACAGATTCAAAATCAAACTGTCATACGTCAAAACAAACATTTTTAAGACAGGATAAAATTATGACCGATGACAGTTTAAACACGCCCTAACATAATATTTATTTTAATTACAAATTTTTTTTTAAAAATAATTTATAAAAGAAAGCAAATTTTGTCTTTTTAAAAGAAAATGTCTATTTTTACTTTAAAAATTAATAACGTAAATGTTACCTCAATTCACACATGTTAACTTAAACTTTTGAACAACTGGCTAATAGGTATCTGTGGGGTATCTAACTGCACATCACCGGAAAGCTTTATTGGAGGCTGAAACTGGCACATTCAAATCAAAACTGCTCCAATATCATCATACGTGAGGTGAAGAGGCATCTTGGAAAGGAACTGGATTTCTCAAAAAAACGAAAAAAAAGCAGGAACTAAACTTGTTCACTTCTCATTTATTATAAATCTTCAGCAAAATCAAAACAGTGGTTAGTGGTCACTCTTTCAGAAACGACATATTACATAGAGTGAAAATTCCACCATTTTCGGCGAATTAATGCCGGTTTACCATATCACAATTAAACGACCTTTCCCTTCGAGCAATTCTTCATCCTTACCTTCGCTTGACCCTCTCGATCTCAATCTGCCGGATAGATACCGCCTCTCTTTTCCCCGCACAAAACCATTGCCATCTTGTCAAATCAACAAATTCTTTACTCAAACTCGTTCAAACTTCCGGCGTTACTACGCTTTAGAAAAAAGAATACCAGGCTTGCAATATTTTTCTGGGAACGTTGAAGTTAAAAAGCCATAAATTGTTTTCTTTAGCAAATAAGTCTTTATTTATTGAAGAATTATTGCGTATTTAAAAATCTCTACAGACAACACATTTCTAGCATACCAGGGGCGTACTATGATAAATATAGAATCGAATTTATATTATTATTTAGACTTAAAATATAAAACGCTACAAGACAAAGAGAAAGATATAGGGAGAGAGATCGATAGAGATAGACGGTGAAATAGATATATCGAGAGAGAAAGAGAGATGAAAAAATCACTAGCAAATTCATAAATTTTACTGATTAAATTATAATAAAATATTTTGTTTTAAATTGTGATTTTGACTTCTTTTTTCTATATATGTGGTAATTTATTTTTTTGGACGTTTTAGGGACGGTAAAAATTTCCCCAGGGAAAGAGACAATTTCAACAATAGAGAAAACTTCAATAGAGATCGAGACAATAATAGAGACGGTTATAGGGAGCACTACAATCAAAGGTGGGAAGACGATTATAGGGAGCCGCGCCAGAAAGATCGAAACCGAGATGGACACAATAGAGAAAATCACAATAGGGACAACTACAATCGAAGAGATCGAGACCCGAGAGATCCTAGAGACAATAGGGATAATAGAGATAACAGAAATAATAGAGATCATAGGGATGTAAGAGACAATAGAGATAATAGAGAATACAGAGATAATAGGGAATACAGAGATAACAGAGATCACAGAAGAGGTGGAGGTAAGGATAAATTAGACTTTATAAACTTTTTCTTTATTGCTTATGTTATTTTTGGATATTAGGTGGCGGCCATAGAGATAGACGAAGAGACCATCGTAGGGACAGAGACAGAAGAAGTAGCAGCAAAGATAACTATACTCAGCCCGCTCCTAGCGTCGGCGCTGAAGAAAGCTGGGACGATCCGCCAAGCATACAACCAGTGCACCCGATTGTTGAAGCGCAGGCTCAAAGTCAACCCCGTCCAGAAAAACTAGATTTTCACATTAGCTCCGAAGCGATCAATAGTTTGATTCCCAACATGATATCTTCAACTTTGGTAAGTACAAAAGATATTTAATGATTAAAGAGCATCGACTATTTTCTCATACGAATCAATAGGTACGAATAAGTAGGTCAATGTTCTTCCTTTCCATTCGATATGTCTCCAATTCTGACAGATTACAGCTGGCATATAAATAATGACATAACCTCACAACTTCAATAACAAAAATTTATATTTATGTCTTAGACGCAATTTTTTATCCTAGATCTCCTATATATCTTTATAGTCAACTAAATATACCATAACATAGTTGCAGTGTCAATTGCAATCTTATCGTTTTCTACAATAACTTCAATTTTGACACATGACATTTGACATGAATAAACTAAAATATAATATATACATATATAAAAATGAATAACAATCGGACTATTTTCTCTCTCACTTTTAATCAATTACTACTTTACATCCCATCGTATTCTACAGTCACTTGCCTGTCATTTGACACGACTCCAATTTTGACAATTGACACTTGACATATTACATTCGACCGTCGACAAATGAATAATGACCTATTACCTTGACAGCTACAAAAATTATCGGACTCAACCATAGATTTTTATATTTATATTGATCTACATGGAAAAATGGTCGATTTTGAGCCAGTGCTCATGCTAATTATAGAATTAGTCACTGATAATCCCATTCCATTAAGAGTTTAATATTTAAACTATTCTAAAAACTTTCTTAGTATTTAATGTGATTATTTTACAATCTTTGTTAAAAAATTTAGGATTGGAGTGAAGAGGTGGAGCTGCAAGATCGACTAGAATCTGAATATTTGAGTGACGCTCTTACGAGAAGTTCTTCGATAGTCAGTCTGCAAGAAGTAGGAGGCATGAAATCTTTGCCTGCAAACCTTAATGAACAGCCCGCTTCAGCAAGTAAATCTAGAAGGTATGTATATAAATAATTTTGTTCCCATTTTGTATTTGTAATCTACTATCAAGGAAGCCTCAATGTATAAGGTATAATAGAATTTGGGAGTCAATGTGTAGTCTATAACCAACGATTTCGTTGACTCTAACAAGATCAGTGATTCTTAGAGACATATTCAACATCGACCAAAAGGTACAGCAATTGAAACAAGCTAAATAAATAACAAATAACAAGAAGTGCTTAACCACCATAATATCAGTGTCAGATAGTTTAATAAAAATAAATACAGATTTGTTAATTAACAATAAGTTTTGCCGGAAATCGTGATAAACTGTTTTTTACTATTGTTTTAAAGCTATTTTCTTGTGGCATTTTAAATTAATTACTATTTAACTGGGAATAAGCCACAATTAAAGATAAAAATACGTTTATTGATGTTTAAATTTTTTCAAAATTCGTTCTTGGAGGAGAAACATTTGTTAACATCTGTTTTATTAAAAAATAATTATCCTTTATCGTTTATAAATAAGGAATTTTCAACAATCGATCGAATAGAACAGAACGAGATCCTACAGCATACACAAGGAATAATACGAGGAAAATAACAATACCGTACGTAAAAGGATTATCAGAAAAACCTAAAAGGATAGGAAATAAATTCAACATTTCAACAACATTCAAAACAACAGACACGTTGAGATCTATTTTGTCCAAAACCAAACCTAACAATGAACAAGAAAGGACAAAGAATTGCATTTATAAAATACCTGTGAATGCTATCAGTTTTATTTGGGTGAAACATCAAGGCCATTAAATGTTAGAATAAGTGGACATCAATCTTATATTAAAAATAGATAATTTGATAGATCTCAAATATGTAAACACGCATGGGATAATGAACATAGGGTTCAATGGAATAATTCAAATGTAGTCCTAAAAGAAACGGATGGTAAAAAAAGAAAAATCAAAGAAGCGGCTCTAATTATGCTAAATGAGGCCAATTGTGTCGCAAATTCCTCGGCAGAATGTAGTAGGATCTGGTTACCAATATTGAAAGAGGAAGTTATTAATAAGAAAATACCAGTATTAGTAAGTCAGCAACATATAGAGGATACATCATTTATGTTTTTTAAATAACGAAACATATAAAATCAGAATTTTGGTGTTTATTGAAATTAAACTAAATGCACGAACAAATACTTACCATGTCGGGATAGTATTATGAGGTTTTTTTCCTGGTTTTTCCCTCATAATTTACTATGGAATCACTAACAGGAGAATTTTACTGTCATCATGTCATGTGTTTGTCTTTTTAAAGACGAATTACATGCTATGATTTTTTTTCTGACGGATATTCTCAAGTTAAAGTTGATTTCATGTAATCGAATGAACTATCTTATAAGTAAAGTCGTCTCAGGAGCGCAACTCAACAATATTGGCAATATCATTTTAAAGTCGTCTACTTTAAAATGCATAATGTATGTCTGAATTGTCAATATAAATAAGTCAGATAAAATTAAATTATTAGAAGAATTTTTCACTATGTAACAAAAAACAAAATTTGTTTAATTTACTGTTTATATTTTGAGAACGATTTCCGAAGTGGAAATTGAAACGTCAATAAACGTATTTTTATCTGTTTTTTACGTTTAAAAACTCACCCTCTTCCGCCTCCTGATCTCAGATAGCTCTTAAATTATTTTTGTTATACTTTCTTTCTTTTCCAATGGGTTTCATCTTGTTAATATTGTATTGGTTTCAAGAATTATCGTCACTAGCCTATAGAGATCAGAATAGAGAAACACAGACTGGAATGTATGGAGAGGCCAGGAGAAGAAGGTTTAAATAGAAATGGAGTAAGGATGATCGAGTTTTGCGTGATAATTTAAATATAGAAAATTCTTTCTGGGAACAAAATTTGGATGATAAATATACTTATATAGCAGAAGGTAAATTTCGTAGTATAGACAGAATATACACCTCAAATAATTATTAACATTAAAACTAAAAACTATGCTGAAATAAGGCTATTAACAGCTGAACTACGCAATAGTTTTAGGAAGTGATCACTATACCAAGATAAAAATACGAAAATGGTAACAATCCTAAATAGGAAAAAATATTAACCAAAAATGAATGCTAATTTAAAAGAGGATCTTTACTATATCCTCTGGATATAATTTTCTTCGCTGTAGAGATAACCGCGCCAACAAATCTCATGTAGTTTGCACGTGATGGGTTTGCACTGTAGATCAAAAAGTTCAGCGATCTTTAGCGTCAAAGACTAAATAATTGTCAGTCTCTTCGCTCCAGTTTAGCAGAGCCTCGCCGTTTTAATCACTATGGCTATACTTTCAGAGTTCATTATGACAATTGAAGTCTCCAACATAAACTGAAAGGTATGGGTGGGCGTGTATAACATGCGGAGGCCACAGAACTTTAAAAATATTGCTGACAGTAATTTCGCCAATTTGTATAGTAACCGTATAAATGTTATTTATGCCTGATGTAGGCATAAATATGTATGAACATATGTATGCATTTTCTATTTTGTTTCGAATATAAGTTGCCACTCCATAAGCTGGATGGTAAGTTGCACCCAATAAATCATAGCCATGAATTCTTCCTCTATCGAGAATTTGTTCTTCGTTTTTTACATGGGTTTCCTGAATTGCGACTAGGTCGATATTGTTTTCAATGAGTACCTTTTGAAGGTACTACTATTTACTTCTACTAATACCTTCTATAATTAAATGGCAGATTGGGATGCTTGGTCCGAGTTCTTTTGTCGCTTGGTCCTGAGAAGGTCCATTTAAATTGTTGGTTGGAGGCATATCTTATATTCGTGATGTGTTCTTGCCAGGAGATATAGAGACTCTATATTTCCTGGCTGCCTATTGTTCTAGCTCATTTAGCATTACCGAATGTGCATATGTAGTATTATACCAAAGAATATAGACGCTAAACGTCTATATTCTTTGATTATACTACAGACGCGAACTAGCTTTACACCCCAATCTATCAATATAAACCAACGAAATAAAAAAAGCAGCAAGATGGTGGAATAAGTAAGTTCAAATAGAAGTGAAAAGAAATAAGGAATCTGGAAAACGTATATGTAAAAAAAAAATAAATAAACGACGCAAGAAAATATTTCAAGATGAAAGAATAAGGCTAAAAAATGATATTGACAGTAAAAAAGGAATGCTGTGAAACTTTTGGAATGTCAATTCTAAAATAATGGTCAAACATCAGATACATTTAAAATACAGAAACTTTTTTTTTCCAAACCGAATACTAAGATGTCTGCTTTCGTCAACTATTAAAACCAAATGAATTGTTTTTGCATGAAATACAATTTTACACACGTTAAATGACAGATGTCACAACCTCATGCAACGCCATATATCGAAGGGTAGACTAAAGTCAAACCATCCTCGTCAACATCAAGATGTATAAAATAAAAAATGTCATTAGTTATATTTGATGATAGAATTGAGATATTCTGACCAGAAACGTTCAAGACATTCATTATATATTAATTTATTTGTAGGCGAAATAGGAGAAGGAGTAAAAACAGGTGAGTTAAATGTTTGAGTTTTTAAATCTAACAATTATGATCTGTCGTCCAAACCTAATTCTCTACTAAATCAATAACTCTTCTTCCCGCGATACAAAATGTATTTTAAAGTATGACTTTAACCTATTTTTGACTCATTTCTTTTGAGTTTTGAATAGTAGAAGAATCTTCCTATTTTATAACTTTTCAGAAGTCGCGTTCGAGACGGCAGCAACTCCCAAACTCGGAACACGAATCGAACTAGACAGAACTCAACCACGAGCATAGACAGTAGAGATAGCTTCAAAGTACCTCGAGACCCATATCCTAGTTCGTCAAGAAGAAGTTCTCGGGATACCCGAGACACGAGTTATGATAGATACCACAGCAGTTCGAGGAATGTCAGTCGGGATAGTAGTTGGGATCGCCACACTCAAGGTAAGCATTCTTTACATTTTGAGTACTATAAAACACAAATACCCAAATGAAACTAATGCAAAACCACTATTTGTAAGAAATTAAACAGACTAAATAAAAATAAATGCTTGAGATTCGCAAAGTAGATACATGAATAAATGGAAATAAGTCAATCTTCGCTGGTGTCTTCGGAAATACCATCCAGTAGGCTTCTTCTTCTTATGGTGCCCTATCCAATTAGTAGTTATTGGCGACAATTCTGGCATACTCCTCTAGATTTTGTGTGGCTCTAAAGAGTGCATGGGCATCGAGGTTTGTCCAATCCCTTATGTTATCTTTCCTTCTATAACAGGGGTCTCCAAACTTTCCAGGCTTAGGGCCATACTGATTACTCCAGTAAGTTCCGAGGGCCAAGATGGCAACACTGTATTTTATATATATATTTTTTTTTATATTTTATTATTATTTATATATTTTATATATTTCTGTATTTTATGTGTAATAGAATTTTGCTGAAGTGTGGATCATTTTTTGTAAAATAACGAATAATTTAATTTTTTGTAAGTGTGGTAAGCTGTCAACATTATTAAGTATGTCAAATATTCACCTATTTTTGATATATTTTAATTTAATACAAGGTAGACATAAACAAACAAAATATTTCCACCAGTGGAAATCTCCAATCTCTCCCGAGATTGTCCACTAATAACATAATTATTCTTTCTACTATTTTTCAACGCCATCGTTAGAAATTGTCACAAACACACTTAACTATCCGAAATAATAAGAAGTCTGAAAAATAATAGCCGCAAATCACTTAAGTGTTACGCACCTGATAACTGGGAGGAGACTAAAGACCCCACCTAAGTGGGACGAGTGCGAGGACGAAGCTATGACAATAGTGGCGTAACTACAAGTCAGTTCCTATGAAACTGTTGTGAAATAAAATAGGGCGTACCTCCTTAAAACAAGTTTGTGCGTGTAACAGTATTTTGATTTGATTTGAATTGTTGCTTTTGTGTGTGATTTAGTAGAACGGAAAAGAAGCGAAAAATTGATAGTGAATGCAGAAAATTCAAAGATCAGTGGAACATTCAGTATTTCGTAATTGAGTCCAGTAACAAGGCGCTATGTTTGATTTGCAATGAAAGCATTGCCGTTCTTAAAGAATATAACATGAAACGTCATTATGAAACAAAACATTCTCAAAATTACTCAAAATATACAGGAATTGTGCGGACAGAAAAATTCGAAGCTTTGAAGTGCGGATTGAAATCGCAGCAATCTTTATTTACAAAAGTCAAAACTGAACAAGAGGCGGCAACTCGTGCCAGCTTTCGTGTGGCTCTTGAAATTGCAAAACGTGGAAAACCATTCACCGATGGAGAAATCATCGCTGACAATATATCCTCTCAACTGTTCAACAAAAATGGACATGTTGAGTGGTTTTCTTTGGCCTTGGATGAGTCAACGGATGTGTCAGATACTGCTCAGGTGTTGATTTATATTAGAGGAGTAGATAAAAGCTATGAAGTGCACGAATAACTTCTTGATATGTATAGTATTCATGGCACAACTACTGGTACCGATATTTTTAAAGGAGTTGAAATGGCCATAATTAAAAAGAACCTTCGATGGAAAAACTTGAAATGTATTACAACTGATGGAGGCAAAAACATGAGTGGCAAAGATAAAGGAGTGGTCGCTCTTGTGTCAAAGGCTGTAGAAAATGACGGCGGCTCAAAACCATTAGTCTTACATTGTATCATTCATCAAGAGTCTTTGTGCGGAAAATGTTTGGATATGTCTGACGTTCTGAAACCAGTCATATCAACTGTTAATTTCATCAGATCTTTTGGGTTGAATCACCGACAATTCCGACAATTTATTGCAGAGATTGGAGAAACAGACTGACCTTAACATACTGCCGTACGCTGGCTTAGTTGTGGGAAAGTCCTTCAGCGCTTTTTTGAACTTCGAGCAGTGATCGAAATTTTTTTGAATGAAAAGCACCACCCTCTTATTGAATTACAAAACAACGCATGGCTATGGAAGTTAGCATTCTATGTTGATTTGACAAAACATGTGAACGAACTGAATTTGAGATTGCAAGGAGAAAACCAGCATCTTCCTGATTTATACACTAATATCAAGTCATTCCGGATGAAATTGATACTGTTTCAATCACAACTACGAAGTAAATGTTTTTCACATTTTAAAACATGTGAAATATTCAGCCACACTACTGAGACTGAGTTTCCTATCGATTTTGCAATCGAAACTTTGAGTGCTTTGAAGATAAATTTTGATACTCGTTTCTCGGACTTTGATGCCATTGCGAATCAAATTAAGATTTTTCAGAATCCTTTTGATGCTGACATTGAACTTTGCCATTTGCCCCGGAACTTCAAATGGAAATGATTGATCTTCAGTGCAGTGATATAATTAAGAACAAATATGAAAACTCATCTTTGTTGGAATTTTATAAGAGTCTTCCACTGACACAATTTGATAATTTGCATAAATTTGCTCGTGGGCTGTTTTCCATTTTTGGTACTACTTATTTGTGTGAGAAAACCTTCTCCAAAATGAAGTACACAAAAAATGTATACAGATCTAAATTAACTGACGAGCATCTTAAATCTCTTTTAATAATTGGTACAAGTAAAATTAGTCCACAACTACAAACTATTGTCGGTGGAAAATCTCAATTACATACATCTCATTAGCATTTCATATGTCATGTTTGTTATAAGGTATGTGTTGTTCATTACTTACAATGTATAAAATGTTAGTTGGATTCATTTCAATAATTTGTTAGTTATTATATGCTGAAGTTAAATTTACTGCATAAATTATACATGTCTTTACTCATTACCATTCTGTGTTTCTTTATCCAACTTATCACAAACATTTTATTTGCTATAAAAAATATTTGTTCTCTAAAAGGAGTTTTCAAGTATGTCTCCGCGGGCCGGACAAAATCTGTCTGCGGGCCGGATGTGGCCCTCGGGCCGTAGTTTGGAGACCCCTGTTCCATAACAAGCTTTAAGAACTGGTACTTGTAATTTCGAAATATATGACCCAGATAAGCAGTGTTTCTTCTTTTTATTATTGTACCTATGTTATTTTATACAGTCAAGAGCAAATGTATTTTGCGTGTTCTAAGCATATAAATTTTTGTCATTTTTAACAGGTATATCTGGTTGGCCTATTTTTTTGTTTACTACAGTAAAAACAACGACCTTGAAGATTAGGTTGTGGATTTGGGCTAGAACAATTTCTTCTTGTATACTGCACATTTCTTTAATTCTTGACCTAGTTGATCAACGAATATGCTAGGTTGCAGATGATCGTTTGCTAGTTCCATACCAAGAGCTTCTAGAAAATGTCTTCTAGTCATTTTATCTGTCTCATAAGATTTATATTTGTTTATTATAAATGAATTGATATCGGCTACATTTATTGCAAAATAAAAGATGACCATAGGCCATCGGTGAGTGGCTCGAGCGTAATTGTAGGCGGGATATATTTTATCAACCAGATCTACTCCTCCTGATTTCTGGCTTGCCCGTTAATTCCTCTAGTAAATCATCGTGGTACATCGTTGAGAGTAAAATAACGTTTTTACTTTTTCGGGGTATATAGACACAATTGCTAAAAGCAAACACACTTGTTTTTTTCTGGTCTCTTAGGATCAGTAAATCGAAGTGGAAGCTCTCTTTTGTTTTTTTCCTCATAGTTGCTTATCATAGTCAGATGACGTTCGTTCAAAAGAAGATCGAGCAAGCTGAGGCTCGTGAAAAAATTGTCCATTGTTATATTTCTGTAAGAACCAGATATAGCACTGCAGAGGCGAGAAACGAGAGAAATATTGCTCGTATCAACTTTATATGGGCCAAATGGCCGTTGTCCAACGTACACCTCTATATTTGCGGTATAAGGAAACTTAGCGTATACTAATGCGTAGATTTTTATGCCATATTTATTAGGTTTATTGGGCATATATACCTTAAAGCCACACTTGCCACGAAAAGCTTCTAGTTTTTCATTTACCGTTGTATATGCTGATAATACAAAATTTTATTTAAATTAAACGATTTTTTTAATATACAAACTACTCTATGATTTCTCCGAGAATTAATAGAATTGGTTACAATCCCCAAATTAAAGGGACCTTTTTTGGAAGAAGCTAGTGAGAGAGTTCTCTTTAAATACGAATTGAGGGACTAACAACTGCCAAGTCTGAATTATTGTGAAAATTACCTCTAATTAATACTAATTACTACTGAGTTTAATGCATAACTCAATTGAATACCCAAAACACCCAAACAAATTAATGGTATTCAAATGTGCCGTCTTCCTTTTGCACCAGGCCATATACTTTTCTCAGTCTCTTTCTCTCGAAAGGCACTGAGAGCTTCTTCTTCTCTCTCTGAGCACTTCTTTTGCACCAGGCCATATACTTTGGCTCTTTTGTCTAATCATTTCGATGTCATCAATCGTTTCTTAGCATAATATGTACTATTTCCATTACTTAGCATTAATTTCGCTACTTCTACGGAATTCTTGTGATTGAGTTCTGTGCCCAGGTATGTGAAGGCATCCTCACGTTCAATAGTATAGTTGTCTATTGTTATATTATTTTCATTCTCAGGTGTTCTTTTGATGGTCATGTACTTAGTTTTTGTTTCGTTTATTTCAAGCCCTCCTTTTTGTGCTTTATGATCAATTTCCATGAACGTTTCCATGAGTCGTGTCTATGTTCTACTAATAATGGCGACATCGTCTACATATGCAGTAATTTTTACTGTTTTGGTGTTTATATGGCCGGTTACGTTGGTGTTTCTGATGACTGCTTCAAGAACTAGGTAGAACAGCATGGTTGAATGTGCGTCTTCCTGTCTCACCCTCATGTTGATGTCAAAAATCTACTCTAACTGCAGCTTTTGAACTCTGCAACGTAATTTTTTTGAGGCTGATATAATTTTTAGTATACCTAGATTTCGGAGGTCTTCCAGCATTCTTTTCACATTATCAAAAGCTTGTTTAAAGTCTATATACGTTATATATTTCTATGTCGTATTCAGAAGCTTTCTCTTGTATTGTTCTAAGTATGAATATGTTGTCTGTAGTGGCTCTATTTGGTCTGAATCCATTTTGATAATCACCAATTATATTTTCGGAGTATTCTGACAATCTAGTGTAGATAATGCCAGAAAGAATTTTGTGTATTATATTTAGCAATGTAATTGGTCCGTAATTCTGGCATTCCCTCTTATCTCCTTTTTTATATATTTTTATATATTTGTTGTATACATTCGGAAATACTGCACTAATATCAAAGTATTTATATAATACACAAAAACATTAAAGGCTTAAGCAAGAAAGAAGGAAAAAATCTTCAAAGATATATTATTGGTTCGTTCTAGGTAAAGGATCTATTAGTGGCAATTGGCGTGAAGACATGGAAAGAAGTAGAAAGAATAGCGATAAGGAAGGCAAACCTACCATAGAAGATATAAAAAATGTCGATGCTAATACCAAAAAAGCTGGAGTAATAGTGTTACCTTCTCAAAAGCAGGAAGTCAATCCAAATGCGGCGCCTACCCTCAGCATTCAAGACCATCCAAGGTAAGTTAAAGTTGATTTCTAACATACTGAAATGAACATCCCATTTATTTTTCTCAGGTTTGAGTTGAATTTGGCAGCTCAATCTAGTAAGACCTGTACCTCTTGTATTTTAATATTTTTCATTATTAAAATGTCATTCTATGGAAGCAGCTATAGCTCCAAATCATAACACTTTACACTCTGTTCTATTTATTTATTTTTTAATGGCTTAAGTTTGTCTTTATTACAACCATAATTAATCTTTCAGGTACCCTGAAGCCCGAAAATCTCCAGGTCAACAAAAAAGCCTCTACGACCCTAACAATCCCACAAAACCGATACTAGTAAAATCTTCTAGTGTTAGAGTCAGCGTACCCGGATTTTCGGACAATGCGGAATCCTCCCCACCACAAATGTACACCACAGATCAATTTGGAAATTTGCGGCCACCATGGTATGACGAAAACACGGAATCATTCAAATCTTGCCACTATCCTGATCTATTAAGGGACATCAAAAGAGCTGACAACGAATTGCAGTATGTAATTGATAAGGGACTGCTTTTAATGCATTGGGACCAGGTGAGTGTAGGGCTTAAGCGTTTTCCAGTTACAATTTTCTTAATATTTGGAAATAGAAAAAAATCAGACAGATCTAAAACTTAGAATTGGGTTACAATCATTTTACTATTGTTAACATTTCCTATCGTTACAAATTGTAGAAAATTGATTAGGTTCCTACAATTTGACAAATATTGCTGAGAAAGTAGATTTCAGATTTGTTTTTAGCTGTCTTTTCAATCCATCGATATAAGAGTATATTCTTCTGTAACAGAATGACAACTTCCCACTTTTCCTTGTAGGGAGAGTTTATTAACTCTTTGTGTGTGTATATTTTCAGGTGGACAAATTGCGAAGTTTCTTGAAGGAAGCACTGGAATACCTGATTTGCAAAGCCATAAAGTTCTGTCAAACTGAAAAGGTCGAGCAACATTTTTGGAATATTCTTTATCATAACATCATCGAAGTCACTAGGAAAGCAATCAAAAACGATCCCGAAAATAAGGAAAAATATAAAGGTAAGTCGAAGTCACTCTTTGTCAAGAATAGATGTAGTGTTTTTTTTTATTAATTTATGATTATACAATCGGCTTGAATATACGATTCATTTGCCTATAGTAAATCCGGCTCAAAGGACCATGTTTTTTGTTGTATTATATTTAATTTTTTTTGTAGGTTTTTTACTATATCTAATAGACGAAGGTACCAAATATTTCGAACGGCTTCTTTCTGTTCTGGAGGAAACGTTCGACTTCAAACTCAACAACTTCTTGAAAGACAACAATATGGCGTCTCACAAAGGTCTAGGTCTAGTGGGAATGGCTCTGATATCCGCCCAGAAATTGTTTCTGTTCTTGGGAGACTTGGGAAGGTACAGAGAAGAGGTGAACGAGACGTCAAACTATGGAAAATGTAGACAGTAAGTTGACTGTGTTGAATTATCGGTTATGTGTTAATTGACATTTCTTTTTATAGGTGGTATATCAAATCTCACGAGATCAATCCAAAGAACGGCAAACCTTATAATCAACTGGCTATATTGGCCGTTTATGCTGTAAGTATATTGTTATAGTCGAGACTTTTTTAATAATACTTGAATTAACCAATTTATTAACTTTAATAAAAGTGCTTCTTATATACATGTTTGCTAATCAATTTACATTAATACCATAAAAAATTTCTTAGTGATACTAGTCGCTTTGTAGTTACCATTTGACTGGTCTGTTGAGTGTAACATTTCAAGGTCGATAATTATATTTTTAGTATTACTGCAGTCAAAACACAAAATGCAAAAGAGCAGATATAGCATATAACCATAATCTCTTAGTAGCACATATGAAAATTAAAATAAAAAGAATAGAGAAGACAGCAAAAGAAGAAAGAACTGATATAAATGCACTAAGAGATCGAGAAATCAGAGAAAATATCAAAGAAAAAATAAATGAACGTCTAAACATCGTACAGATTGAAGGGGAATGCAATGAAGAAAACATCAACAAAACCTGGGAAAAAATAAAGGCTGACTTAATAGAACCTTCAAAAAAGTATCTACGCAAAACCAAAGAAAGGAAAAAAGATTGGGTGACGGACCAAATACTAAACTTGATGAACAAAAGATGAGTATACAAGAACAAAAATAAATCATTGCCACCAAACACAAAACAAAATAAGGCGATAAATTCGAATAGCAAAAGAAAATTGGTTAAAAGAAAAATATGATGAAATACAAATGCTACAAAATCAACATGACAGATTTAATTTACACAGAAAAATAAAAGAATTAACTAGAAGACCAGAATACAAACAAAATATACTAGTTGATGAAAAGAGGGACACAGTAATGGATACATAAAACAAATTGATGGTATGGACAAACTATATAGAACAGCTGTTTAACGAAAAACTTGACAAAATAGATAAGGAATATTTCGTTGAAGACACTGGACCAGAAATAACAGAAAGTGAAGTAAAACACACAAAGAAATGAAAACTGGGAAAGCAGTAGGACCAGACAAAATATTGCAACTTATCGCCGACTGCAATATACATGTTATTGTCGAATTATTTAATATCATATACAGGTATATTACCTAAAGAATGGCTTCTATTAACATTCGTGACTATAACGAAAAAGAAAAATGCCAGACAATGTTGCGATCACCGTACCATCAGTCTAATGTGCCACATATTAAAAGTATTCCTAAAGATTATTCATCATAGGATATATAGAAAGTTAGAACAAGACATTGGCACACTCAGTTCGGATTTAGAAATGCTCAAGGAACCAGAGAAGCATTATATGCAGTAAATATGCTAATACAGAGATGACTAGATGTAAACCAGGACACATATGTCTGCTTCCTAGAGTATAACAAGGCATTCGATATAGTGAAATATAATCGGTTAATAAAACTACTGAGAACAAAGAACATCGACACACGGGATATCAGAATAATAAATAATCTGTATTATGAACAAGAAGCTGTCATAAGAATAAATAATTTAAAAACTAAAAAAATTAATATCAAAAGAGGTATTAGACAGGGCTGTGTCTTGTCGCCATCACTGTTTAATGCATACTCTGAGGAAATATTCAAAGAAGCATTAGAAGATGAAGTAGCAGGCATAAAAATAAATCGCCTACCCATACAGAAAATTAGATATGCTGATGATACAATACTAATAGCAAAAAATATTACAGATCTACAAAGAACTTTAGATAAGGTTGTTGCAGCCGGAGAAGAATTTGGTCTGTCGCTAAACATAAAGAAAGCAACATTCATGGATATATCAAAGAAAAATATTAGATACATCAATCTATACGTAAATAATAAGAGGATAGAACGAGTTTAGAATTATAACTATTTAGGGACAAAAATTAATGAAACAAACCATTATGAAAAGAAAAAGCTAGAAGTGCATTCAATAATATGAAACAAATATTATGTTGTAGAGACCTCAGCTTAAATATTAGAAAACGAGTACTAAAGTGTTATGTATTTTCTGTTCTTTTGTATGGTGTGGAGTCATGGACTTTAAATAAACAATGTCTCAATAAATTGGAAGAATTTGAAATGTGGGCATGTCAAGGAATGCTGAGAATCTCCTGGACAGACTGAATAACTAATGAAGAAGTACTAAGAAGAATAGAAAACAGCAGGGAGACACTGGATTCCATCAAAATAAGTATATAATATCTGGGTCATACAGAAGTAGAAAGAAGAGTACACCGACAACAGGAATATCAAACAATAAATAAATCAGTTAAAAGAAAAGCAAGAAGAAACAAAAAAAGGTGGGCCGAAGAACTGGCAAAACAAACAGAAACAGCTGCACAACACAACAGAACTAGGGAGCTTTACCAAATTACTAGACGACTAACAAAAAATGGGTCCAACTGTTCGAACATTGTAAGATCCAAGACAGGCGAATTACTTACTACAACAGATCACCAAGTAGAGAGATGGAAAGAGCATTTTCAGGAGATGCTAGGTATTCCCAAAGATAGCGCAGATGAAATTGTCGAAAACCCGCAGAATATAGACTTGCATATTTCTTGCGAGGCCCAACAAGTCACCGGGAATCGATAACATTGCTGCTGAAATACTTAAAGCTGATCCGCATCTAACTGCTGAACTTTTGCTCCCCATAATCAGAGAGGTGTATGAAACAAACCACATTCCAGCGGGCTGGAAAAAAGGTAACATTATCAAGCTTCCAAAAAAGGCAACTTCACACTGTGCAAAAATTGGAGAGGAATAACCTTGCTTACTGTCATAAATAAAATTTTCACGACCATCATACTGAAAAGATTAACAAACAAGGTTGAGTTTCGAGCTAATCAAGCAGGCTTTACACCAGAATCCTCCTTCATAGACCACATTAGTACTGTGAGGGTAATAATGGAACAATCGGTTGAATAGAACACACCCTATAGATGGTTTTTGTTGATTTTGAACGTGCCTTTGACAGCTTGTCTCATGCTGCTGTATGGAAAATTTTAGAGCAAGAAACATCCCGCAAAAAATAATTTCTATTATAAAGTCACTATAAACTGATGCGAAATGCAGCGTGACACACAATTGGATCAACAGTGACGAATTCGACGTACTTACTGCAGTTAGACAGAGATGCGTGCTTTCTCCGTTTCTTTTTAACATAGCTATAGACTATGTTCTCTCCAAACTAGATTCCAACACAAGAGGGATACAATGGACGTTAACCACACGCCTAAGCGATCTAGAATACGCGGACGATATCTGCCTATTAGGTCAGAGGTTCCAAGATCTGGCTTACCAATTGGAAACACTTTCCACTGAAGCCAATAAAATAGGTTTGAAAATCAATATTAGTAAAACCAAGTCCATGAGAATAAATGCAAGGAACAACACGCTATTTACTATCGACAATATGCAGATTGAAAATGTGGAAAACTTTACGTATATTGGAAGTGTCATAACAGAAAACGGAGGCACAGAAGACGATATTCGTATGAGGATACAAAAAGTCCAACAAGCTTTCAGCACGCTCAACCCTGTTTGGACATCTGGCGACTATACTACAAGGACAAAGATCCGAATATTCCGATCAAATGTCATATCTGTTCTACTCTACGGATGTGAAACCTGGAAAGTGACAAACACCCTCACAGACAAACTGCAGGTCTTTGTTAACAAATGTCTACGAAGAATTATCCGTATATTCTGGCCTAGCACCATCAGAAACGAAGATCTGCTACACCTGACCGAACAAAAGAGGGTACAAAATGAAATTAAGTCCAGAAAGTGGGATTGGATCGGTGACACACTCCGAAAAAATAGTTCCAGTATCGCAAAGACTGCCCTAGAGTGGAATCCCCATGGGAAATGAAAAAGAGGTCGTCCAGTACAAACTTGGAAATGTCTTGGAATGAGGTGAAGGCTTTAGCGCAAAATAGAGCCCGATGGCACGTTTTCACTGAAGCTCTAAGCTCAACTTAGGAGTTCAAGAACCTTATATATCTGGGTCATATAACACGTGGTGACGGATATGAATTCCTAAAACTAATAATGCAGGGAATGATTCAAGGAAAGCGCAGCATAGGTAGAAGAAGAATGTCTTGGCTGAGAAACTCAGAGAATGGTTTGGATGCAGCTCAACTGAACTATTTCGGGCTGTAGTGTCAAAAGTTTGAATAGCAGTGATGATTGCCAACCTTCGCCGTGGAGATGGCACGTAAAGAAGAAGAAATTATATTATGGCCGATTTAAACTGTTGAATTTTATGTGAAACGTGAAACTTTTGCCTATTCTCGGTTAATGTTTCCCTGATTCAGTTGTAAAACGATTGGAAACAAGGCTGGAGAACGTCGCCCTGTATAGATATTTGTAGCAGCCTACCTCCATTGCCATTTCTTTATCCTAATCCTTTCTTTTCCATAACTGATGCGCGTCTTTCCTTTTCGTCACATGTTTTTACATGTCGTAAATCTCAATTTTTATGTCTTCTTTGTAATTTTTGTATTCATTGTCTTAAGTTGCTTAAAGTTCTTCGTATACATCTCCCTTCCTTCCTCCTTGTTTTCACTTGTTCTAGTTTGTTAGTTTCATATTATGTCCTTACATTTCAAGTTCCAATAATTTTGACGTATGTTGTGTCCACTTAAGTATTTATATTTTCTTTCTACCGCCTGTCATATTTTTTGTATCGGTGTACATTACATTATTATTTTTTGAATTACTCTTCTTGTTTCTTCACTGGCTAAATACAACACTTTATTATTGCTTAAACGTTTCGGATACCTTCGCCATTCTCAATAAGCACTTTAGTTGCAGTTACATTACTTGTTACAATTTATATTTTTGTATGCACTGTTTGTTTGCGATGGAATTAAAAAACGTCACGTCAAAAACACGAATTGCTATATGTTATTACTGTCATATATTTAGTTTTAAGTACTATTCTATTAGTTTTATGTTTTATGTTAGATGTCATATTAGTTTTATGTTTAATGTTGGTTGACATATAAATGAAGGCTGACACTTCGTGCCATGCCGATATTGTAATGGTTCTTAAATAAAAGAGTTAATAAAAATTTAAAAAGCCTACGTTTATTAATAATACAACAATTACGATACATTTTAATTTCAGAGAAGAAAATTAGATGCTGTATATTACTACATGAGAAGCCTGATGTCTTCAAATCCCGCACCTTCTGCTAGGGAAAACCTCATATCATTATTCGAAGAAAACAGGAAAAAGGTAATACATAATCCTTTATAATTTATGTGTTTGCAATTGGCAGTGCATAAACTTTATATAAATGCACATTCTTCTAAAAGTAGATTAGTGCTGTCAAAATAATATACGAACTACGATAGTATCAATACATCTATTGTTAACATTTTTTAAATAATCCATTCACCCCATAACCAAATAACAATGCAAACCAAATATTCTAACTACATAGAGCACGTAGGACATAAAAGGCTGTCGTCGGAACACAGAACGATACATAAGGTATTTATGGCAATAAATTGTAGAAAATATAGTTTTGATGATTTAGGTTCACTTTTAAATTAAATATTTAAAAGTAATATAGATTTGTCTGTCTGCAATAACAGCTTACAGTCAGTTTCGGAAAGTCAACAGAGCCTCCGTTCGGATTTCAAAGTGAGAATTATTTCAGGGAGTTAGTTAATACCATTACAGGTTAGAACAATCAGCATATAGTCTTGAAATATTATTGGAAGTCTTACAGATAAAGCCGGAAATACACATGCCTGTTCCTAGCACAATGGCATACCAGTACCTATCAAGCACCCGCTACTGTCCCCAAGCTAGCATGTGTGTACGTTAACTGGCATGCTAGTACCTGGCATGCCAGCTAATCGCAAAGAATTCGATTTTTCTTGCTATAGTTTATTTTTATGAACGAGAGAGTAATTAGCATAATTTTAACTGGTACCTCCGACCACTCCATGGGCGTGCTCAAGATTAATTGAAAAATTACTTTGAATAATTGTAAAAAATAAATGAATTATTTCAGTGTTATAAAGTGTTATGTGTATGTAAACAAAAGTGACCTCTTTTATCACACACTATATTAGAACTGACTGGCCTACATTAAAAAGGGTTTTAAAAAATTCACATTTTTTTTTTAATTTTTAAAAATTACAAAAGAGAAAAAGAGTTTTTAAAACCGTCTAAGTTTTGTTAAATAGAAGAATAAAAATATTAATATAAAACTTACAGCTACTTGTTACAAATCCAAATCAGATTCAGAAGATGAACTTTCAGAACCAAGATTTATAATAACTGGCTCGATCATTTTATCAGTAATATTGTCCAGCTTCCACATTTTTTCCTCTTCTTTAATAGTGTGATTTACTGCCTTTTCCCAGTTTTCAGGTTTTACATTATTTACGGCCTCCAAAAACAACTGTTTAACATCATGAATTTTAAAAGTGGTATTTTTTCTTGAAACTTCACTCTTTATCTGTGCCCATACCAGTTCAATCGGGTTTAATTCACAATGATATGGTGGGGATCTAAGTACTGTCATTCCACGATTTTTGGCAATTTCATCAATTTCGTATTTTTTAAATTTTTCTTTATGAAGGGCACACAACGAATAAAGTTCCTTTCTTATAGATCCGGGATGGTACGTAATATTTTTTGAACTCAGCCAATTCTGCAAGTCTTTTTTTAACATGGTTGTGGGCAGTCCTTCTATAAGTCTGGAGTGATAACTTGCATTATCCATTATTATTACACAGTTCTTAGGAAGAAGATCTATCATTTGTTCGAACCATTCTTGAAAGACATCAGCGTTCATGTCTTCATGGTAGTCACCGGTACGAGTTGATTCAAAAGTTAATAAACCACCTTCAACAAAACCGTCTGAACTGCCAATGTGTACTATTATCAGCCTGCGTCCCTTTCCTGATGGTGGGTTTAAACCAGTAGATAAGTTATTTACAAAAGCGTGCCTTTGACTTGTAACAGTTTCATCCTGCCAAAATTTATTTGGTGTATGACCCTCGTTGATCCATGTTTCATCAAGATAAAATATTTTTCTTTTTTGGTTTCTCATTTCCTTTATGGTTCTTAGAAAATGTCTTCTCCATATGACAATATCGCTTCTTTCTAATAAAATAGACTTTCTGGGATTCTTTTTCCAGCGGAAGCCTATTTCTTTTAAAAGTTTCCATAACGTACTTCGACTCATTTCTGGGTAATCCTTATCATCTCGAACTGAGACAAGAACTTTATCCAATGTTGGAAATTCTTGTCTAAAGAAGAATTCATGCACTTTCCGTCGAAGTCCTTCTTTAAAATGATATTCTATTTGAAATTTTGGTTTCCCTGGAGCATTACGTGGCATTTGAAAACTACCACATTTCTCTTCTTTAATAACTCTGTAAATCGTAGATTTCCCAACACCAAGTGTACTGCTAACTAACTCAACGGTCTCATCAACACTTTCACATAAACGTTTGTCTGTAAATGATTTAAAAAAATTAAATATTAATGTTTTTTCATTAACTGTTAATGGACCAATTTTTCGGCGTTTACACGGCACTTCCAAATTTTCCATAACACTAGTATACACAATAAACTGCACCTTGCAACTGAAGTACCTACTTTTAGTGAACTGTTAAGAATTTTGAATACGCCACTTGGACCTTCCTACAAAATGGAAAAACCCACTATCACATTTTCTGTGGAATAAGTTTAGAAGGTAATTATCTAGTCAATTACTGTCGTAGATTCCTGGAATTAAAGAATTAAATGTTTGATTGTTGAAACCCTTACTTCGTGGAATGCACTCATTTCAGATAAAATAAAACGTATTATTTTATCTAAAGAATTAAACTTTATTTTGCAAATAGGTAGGTACTTATTAAACTTTTATTGGTTATATATATAACCAATAAAATAAACATCTTACATTTCTTGCAAATTCATTAGTACCTGTTAACCTCCATCACTCCGACACTGGCAACCTTATTTAGGGATTAGTAACCCTCACAACTATTGTATTCTATTCTGCTCCAACCTTTATACCTGGTGGTCATACTCAATTTAAAATTGTTTTCCTATATACTTCTGTAAACTTGTTGACAAATATCTGTTTTTCATTGAGTCACCCGTATCAACAGTTTAGGGATTTGCATACATAATTTATTGTTTTATTACTCTCTCATACATAAAAATACACTATAGTAGCATGCTGTGGGATGCAAGGCGCATGCGTGGGGAGTGTCACTGGCATGTGTGGTCACGCCAGTAGCTAGCAGAGAATTGTCAGATTTGTTGTGTTGGTGATAAAAATTAATCGTTTTATATTTAAAATTGTTAATTTAAAAATGTTTCGTTGGGGTGGGGAAAAAACATTCAAATTTATTGCCATATATAGAGAATTGGAGTGTCTTTTGAATTCTAAATCAACTCTATATAAAAATAAAATAGCCCGTGAAAATGCCTACACAAAAATTTAAGAGGAAATGGGTGAAGGTATTACTATAAAGGAGATAAAGGCCAAAATAAAAAATTGCTGCAAGATTTTCTTTCCTACCTATCCAATTTTTCACCCAAATTTTTCTCTTTTTTAAGTTCCGCTTCGGATTCATTATTAAATTTCTAACAATATCTGTGGCCATCAGCAATATTTTCTTGTTAAATTTATTCCGAATATCTTCCATGGATCCTCTTTTTTTTGTGGGAAACTCAAAAACTGTTAATTACAAAACAATTAATTTAGTTTCAGATGAAAACATCTCTATTGTTTACTAGCACTGGTTTAATGTAAAAATCTATCCTGCTTTTCGCCTTGCCAGTACAGACAGCTACTGGCATGCCAATTACTAGCAAATGTGTTTTGTGCTTGCCAGTTACTGGCCTATGCCAGCAACTGACATGCCAGCTACTTTTCCAATTTACTTGCTGGCTTAAGAGTATGTAATTGGAAGATGCGCTTAAAAGTAATCTTCGTCTCTACGTCAAGTCGTTTGGTCTCTATAAGCTTAAGGCCCTTTCGCCATGATTTCATGTTTGACTTTTCTATTTCGTGGAATTCTATTCTCTTAATCTTATCACGCTACACCTTGCTCGTCTCTGTAATAGCTCGGTGAATAACTTTTCTCCCGGGACTGTGACAAATCCAGATATCTGGAATTTTTTTTAATTATTATTATTATACACAAAGAAAACCTATACGTTTTCTGCATAGGCGTAGATATTGGCGTCTTTTTTTAATTATTATCAATTTAGTATAAAAAATGTCATTTGTCCCTTTTATTCCTTATTTCCTGTAGTACAAGTGAAGCCGTTTAAGTAATATAAGGTTAAGGTCCTTTAGACATGATTTTATGATTGGTGTTTCTATATTGCTGTACTCCTTTCACTACCCCCTTTTTAGCAATACCTTATACATCACGATAAAACATCAAGCCGATCCAGCGCGACCTTAAAAAACGTCAAAAATGAGCAGAATGCACCTTAGCTTTTTTTGACGTATTTGAACGTATAACATAGGGCTTCTTTACCAAATAGGCCGTAGAGGTATAGTCCCTTTATTGAAATAGTTAGTTCAATTATATAAATACAAATAAATTTACAATGGTTTACTAGAATTTTTTATAATCTGACCTTAGTTAGCTGCCAATTGCAAACAAATACAGCTGCTAAAATTTTAAATAAAGTCCCTAATAAGGTTTATTTGAAGTTTTTAAAACATTTTAAAACACATGTTTTTTCTTACATGCTGCGTTACAACTACAGTATCATCAGTTATGTGTACGTATTTTTTTTTTAATTTTAATGTTGATGTCTGTAATATTTATGACTAACTCAAGGAAAAATGAGTATCAAGAAAGACGTGTTTTCGTCTATTTTCTGTGTACAACTAAAAAGTAAATTTGGACAGAATATTTGCAAGTATCTCTTTATCAACTCAACAACTTACGGAAGAGATTACAGAACGGTATTTATTATATTACGGTATTACCTTGTGAATGCAACAATTTTTATATGGGAGAAACTTCAGAATCATTAGTGTTAGGATAAATAACCATGAATCTTACATTAAAAACAAAGACGTTGACAGATTCTGGTTACCAATACTGAAAGAAGAAATCAGCGATAAGAATATACCAACACTAACGAGTTTGTAGCAGGTTAGAGACACATAATTTATAATTAACTGCATAAGCACAAAAATATAACGAGTTTGATATAAATCTCAGGGTATAACAACACCTCTAAGAATTTTCACTTCAAAAGAATGACTAATGCCTATAAGATCAAGGCCAAGTAAGACAAAATGTCTTACCAACTGCCAACTATCAAATTGGCATTACTATCCAGCTAAAATTATAAAAATTTACAGGTTAAGATCATTAATAATTTTTGTAAAAATCTAGCATACGGGGAAACGCTATTTTTTGCAATTTTTTTTTTCTGGAAACGAAAAAATTACAAAAAAACCTTTAAAAAAATAAAAAAAAAAAACATGAAAAACCGGAAATTAAAACAAAAACTGCTTACAAACTCATATGAAATCTATTTAAATAAATATAAATACCAATATTTATGCTGCTAAATCATAAACAAATAGAAAATATTAAAAAAGTCATAACTCATTCAAATTGTAAAAAGATCTAACGCGCATCTGCGTAATAATTGGAATTTGATGTACATTTACAATGTTGCATCATTTATAATTGCTTTTTAAGGAGTGAAAATGTAAGATTTATATTTGAAATAATAATATATAAGAATTTAAAATGAGATTTAATAAAATAAAATATGAGACTTTTAAATAATAGTAAAAAGTAGAAAAATTGATGTAAACTTTTGACGTGAGAAGGAAAAGTTCTCTTAAAGTAAAATTGGCAAGGTAACCGACAAAGTGGTCTTGAAATACTGCGTACTTGACAATGATAAATCGAACTTCCCTCCAAAGCCGTTCCACGTTGTTGGTTGAGTACGGGTATCAGGATCCACAAAATACTTGAATGATTTACTGTTCGATGAATAAATTCGTCATGCTTCAATCAATCATAGGATATACATAGTCAACAATCGCTATAAATTGTTGTCTCAGGAAGAATTCATTCCTTAATCAGTCCAAGCAAAGTGTCGGTATACTTTTTATCAACAGTACTAAAAAGAATTTCTTGGAGTTCCGTTCTACTCCACCGAAAACGCATTATCCCGCATACAAGGGGCCTCGGTTGTATTTTCTTCGGCCGAATTTTGCTTCGTCGATTTCGACAATGTCATTCTTCCCTCCCAATTTCTCTGAATTATTCATTGCGAAACTTACAAAGAAATACCAGTCGGCAATACTTTGTTGCGCAATTTTCTACTCACGCCGAATAAAGCTATACGTAGGAGGATTTAGATGTAATAAAATCGCCACCAAAGCAAATATTTCTTTATCGGAAATTTAGATTACTCAAAAAAAGTACCCTTACTTGCTGATACAGAAAAGTATAGCCTTGTAGCGCCTTTTATTTTTGCCGATACGTTTGTAGCACCTAAATCTTCCTTTACCATCGACTTTCAGTACACTGCCGCACACAGGGCATTTCTTTTTGGCTTTTAGCACCCGTGTGAACAAAAAACTCATAATTTGGCTTGATCGGCCTCCATACAGCACTTTCGTTGTAAGATATTTCACACGAGGTGCAGAGCCATTTTGATTCTTGGAAATTAACTTAAAAATAAGTTTACTTAAAAAAAATGAACTAAGAAATAACTACTTAAATTTGTTTCGTACATTGTATTGTTGATTGATACGTTGCCAATTTTAAATGTTATTAGAAATATTATTACACCATAGCGCTGCCTTTGGAAATTTATTATGATAATAATTAAGAAACACATACTTTACTGAGATATGAAACTGAATTTAAATTTAAAATAAAAGTTAAATGCTATTTTAATATATTTCGAAGCTGATAATTTAAAATAAATTACCAGTTTCTACCAGAAGGTATGTAACCTTCTAAAATTTAGTTGACAACAACACCAAAAAAAACTATGCTGAAAATTGTCACACTCTTGTCAAATTTCGATTTAATCTCGCTATTAACTATCCAAAACAAACTAACACTTAAACTAACCCAATCTAATCAAAATAATTATCTAATCAAAAACAAGAAAAGCTAATATACGAGGAAATGAATAATAAAAACAATGTACAATGATGTACGAAATAAAAACTATAACTTAATAAATTAGACAACAACATCGCAAACAGTTTTCTTGTAAACCGGAAATTAAAGTGACATACTACTTTCTCAACATAACATAAACTACCATATCAACATGTTAATAACTAGTGAAAGACAAAATAAAAATAAAATAATATTTATTTATTCTACAAAATAATTTTTTTTAATTTTTTTTTTACAAAATGGCAAGGAACAATATTTTTTGAAAATATGGCAGCATTGGTTGAAAAGTGACATGACATTGGCTGACACTATTTTTTTATGAAAAGTCCTATATAATGGATTATAGAATTGAAACAAGTGCAAATTAAAATTGGAGAATAAGATTAAATAGGAGATTTAGTTAATATAAGAGTTGGGTGCCAACTATTTTTAGAAGAAAAACAATAAAACAAAAGAGAAAGTTAACAAATGAATAAAATCAGAAGAAATTGAATTAAAAAAACTTTTTGAAGAAAAATGACAAAAATGTGACGTTTATAACATTACAACCTTATCTAATAACATGTAGTCCCTAGAAACCTTGAGATTTTATTAGTATCAGTCGGTGGAATTGCAATAAATTTTATTATAAAAATCATTATCTACTCTTCACCAATCCTGTCCACAGAAAAAAAAACTTTTGTATCTAATCTTCCCTTTGCATTTTTTCTTACAGTACGAACAAGGCGAAAAGAAACGCAGAGAAGAAAGACTGGAACGCCAACGCCTACAAATGAAACAAAAAGAATCCGAAGATGCCAGTATCGCACCTGGTTCTCTTAGAAAAGAAACTTGGATACATCCGGAAGGTAGAAGAAAAGTGTACAGGACCAGTCAGGCGAACATCGAACAAAATTATTCGGATGAAGAGGATTTATCTGCTTTGAGTAGTGTCGAGGTAAGACTTTTTTACGTCTTTGTGAAAGTAAAACCAATATTAATAAACAAATTATAGAAATCGACACAATTGTGTTGTATGAGACATTTTCAATACGCAAAGGAACTTTTTATAAACACCTTACTTTATTTTTACTTATTTATTTATTTTATTTTATTTATTTTATTTTTTCAGGTAAATAAACGATTCATCGTGAGTTATCTACATGTACAGGGAAAGCTCATTACAAAAATCGGGTAAGTAAGATAAAATGAGTCAAGCGAAAAGAGTTTTCTTAGAAAACTCTGTGATAATAATAAATTTATTTTTTTGTCAAATTATTGCGATCCTTTCTTTTTGTTATAGCTTGGAGAGTTTTCAAGAGACGGCGATGCAGATGTTGAAAGAATTCAGGGCTCTTTTACAACATTCTCCAGTCCCCATCCCTTGTAACAGGCTTCTCCAATTGCTGGCCCTTAATATGTACGCCATCGATACTACTCAGCTGAAGGGTGAGTCGTTATTTTTTCCTTGCATTTTATTTCATTCTGTGTGTGATTCATCTATAACACAATGTTTTATTATTAAAATGAAATATATAAACTAATTGCGGTGTATGAAAGATGATTTCAGGGTATTTTTAAAATAATTTTAGTTTACATTACTTATTATTGTTCAGAAATCATTATTATTACGACAGGGTTACTGGACTCACACACAAACAATAAAAATTGGTTGGTATAATTCTAAGTGACAAAATTGATCAAAAACCATCATTAGTGAAATTCGTTCTGTTTTACTACACAGCGAACGGTAGTACGTGAAAAAACAGATTTTTGAGCTATTTTTTTAGTACTTTAAGTAGGTTCCATATTAATATGATCTAAAATTGCTACTTATGCCACTTCATTTATAACATATTTTTCAAACTCCCCTTTTTTATCAGCTACTGATCTTGTTTCATGAAATTTTTATAGTTTTAGTAGGTATAAGTACATCAATGCACTGTTAAGATATTAAAAGAGGAAATTAAAATGGCATTAAAAAACAGCAAAAATGGTAATGCAGTAGGTCCAGACCAAATCCCTAGAGACACCTCAAAATGCATAACTGATGAAATCTTAGACACTATAGTAGACTTATTTAACTCTACAGTATACAAAATAGAACACATACCGAAACAATGGTTACTCTCCACCTTTTGTGCTATCCCTAAAAATACAAACGCTAAATATTGCAGTGAATATAGAACAATATCACTAATAAGTCACATCCTCAAATTATCCCTGAAAATAATACATGGTCGTATAAATAAAAAACTGGAAGAAGGAATAGATGATAGTCAGTTTGGGTTCAGAAACGGACTAGGAACCAGAGAAGCGTTATTTGATTTTAATGTGTTAGCTCAAAGATGAATGGATATGAATGTTGATGTGCATGTTTGTTACGTTGGTTTTGAAAAAGCATTTGACAAAGTAAAACATGAAAAATTATTCCAAATTCTAAAGATAAATATCATAGACCATAGGGACTTGCGAATAATAACGAGCCTCTACTGGAATCAAAGAGCACAAATCGTAATAGATAACGAACCCAGTCCAGAAATTGAAATCAGGAGAGGAGTTAGGCAGGGATGTATTATGTCCCTATTACTATTTAATGTATATAGTGAAGTCATTTTTGAAGAAGCATTACTATCTCAAAGTGAAGGAATAATAATTAACGGAAGATCTATTGACAACATAAGATATGCAGATGACACCGTGATTATGGCAAGCTCTGCTGAACAACTCCAATTACTGCTAAACAAAACAAACAGTTTCTGTGAAAAATATGGACTAAAAATGAATATAAAAAAGACCAAATATATGATAATAACAAAGAAAACAAATATACCAACAAACATACATCTGGGCATATTTTGGCAGATTCATAGCTAGAACCTACAACACAAAAGTTTATATCATACAGTATTAACAACCTAAATAAACTTTTATGCCAGACATATTTAATTGAAAAAAGCAGAATTATTATAGATAGTGGATGTGTATATTAAACCCATAAAATATTAGGCAGTATATATTTAAAAAATATATTTCAGTTGGTATAATTTAACATATATTCCAGTAAGTATTTGTATTAATGACTCTTATAATTTTATTATTTGTTATTATACATTATATGGTGTAAATAAATAAATATTGATGGTCGGTAATTCGTTAAGTTCTATTTTATTTACGTTTGTTTACATTAATATTGGATATGAGCATATGTGCTTGGCTATATAGTAATTTCCAGCCACTTCTAGTCTGTCAAAAAGTAACCAACTTCACAAAAAAATAATTACTAAATTCACTAGACAGTTCGGACTGGGAATAGCGAACCGACTATATATATTACGACAAATAAACTTTTTTATATTATGCAACTAATGAAGATTACAAAAAAATATGTTTTTGTGCCATTGTTCGTGTATTTTAAAGATGGTGCCAAAAATTGTTCGTCCAAAAATTACAGCTTCATGGTGTGGACAGATAATCTCTGGAACCGCAAGTCTGAAATAAAAAATTCGAGAGGGGTTTTAAAAAAAGTGCCCTTACGTGATAGTTTATCAGAGAAATTGCAAATTCTAAAAGTAAACAAAATGGTGGACATTTGAAGAAATTGGTAAGCAATTGATCTTTTTCGCCTCTTTTCAGTCACAAAAATTTTATTTTTTTGTCAAATTTTGGTAAACAATCACAGAAAAAACCAAAACAAACAACATGCGTTTATTAAAATCGACCAACAAGAGCGAGATTAAAGTTTTGAGAAAAACTTTGTCTTTAAAGTCCATCGATTTTAATAAACCTAGATGCATTTTATTTGTTTTTGTTTCCTCTACGATAGTTTACTACAATTTGACAAAAAAAAATTGTGACTGAAAAAAGTCCAAAAAAGGTCAATTTTTGAACAATTTTTCAAATGTCCGCCATTTTGTCTTTTTGTTTTAAAGAATTTTTCACTTTTCTGGTAAACTATCACGTACGGGCACTTATTTTTTAAAACCATTCTCGAATTCTATAAAGTATACGAACAGTAAATAGCATTAGCATTCTGGACGGTAAAAGTACCTTAAATAATTTTGCTGGTATTCGTGGGATACGGAGGGATCGTCCCCGAGTACAGCTGTCTTTCTGGTAACGTTATAAAAATAACGGCCAATCCTTCCATTACTAAGCGTGAACAAGAAAAATCTTATGATGAACGATTCTCATCAAACACGGTTCTTTTCAGAACCATTTCTAACGATAATCTTGATCAATATCGTGGCAATTACTAATGACAAGCAAGTTGTACTTTCTCATGTGTGTAAATCCTCTAAATGTGACACCCAGAAAATACATCGCTACCAGAAGGAGAGAGGACTAAAGATTGACGGGATGACTTGTGCTTTGAGATCTCTGACAGAGGACACGGCAGCACTATTTTTTCAAGAATCTCAAGAAACTGTCCTCTCCTTCGAATTATCTTTTTCGATTTCGACAATTACACAGTCACCTCTGTGTAGAAGCCTCCATGAACGAAATTTTTGTTTCACTCTCCTTGAACTTCACTCGTAGGTCACGTCGTAGGTGACGTCACAAGCCATCACTCGTCATGGGGATATGCAGAAACAGACAAATGAGGATAGATCATCGTAGAATGAAAGCAGAACTCAACAATCCACGATCCGACACTGCCAAAATCGTTGTACAGTAGAATATGAATGAAGGCGTACAACCCCGACTTGACCTTCACAAGAGGCGGAATTGACGGCTGCTGTGCAAGGACGATCTACGTAAAACATTTGACCAATGTGTGTTGCCTGTGATGACTTGTAATGTCGAAACTTTGACATTGACAGCTACAACTCCTAAAACGCTGCAAATAGCTCAGAGGAAAACGGAAAGGTCAATGCTGAGTATGTCGCTTCGTGACCGAGTTAGAAATGAATGACGAAGAACAGGAGTTACCGATGTAATTTCCCGAATTACCACATTGAAATGGAAGTGGGCCGGACACGTCGCCCGAATCCGTGATGAAACGTGGACAAAGTGATTGCTTGAGTAGAGGCCGAGGTTAGACAAAAGAAGAAGAGGAAGACACCCTACTCGTATGACTGACGATCTCAAGATCTCAAAATGTCAAGAAATTGGATGAAAGGTGCTCAAGAGAGAGCACAATGGATAAAAATGAGAGAGGCCTATGTCCAGCAGTGGATGCAAATGTCTGGGTGATGATGATGTAGACAACGATACGTCCCGGGTCTTAACAACGATGCACTTAACCTACTGAGTAAATATCAGAGACTGTTCGAAACCAACCCCTTCAGTGAGGAAACCATAGAATTTGTAGAAGAACTGAAGAAGACCATGAGTGGTATGACAAATAGCATTAAGATCGCGTGGAACTTTGTCAAGAAACTAAACTGCGATAAAAAAAAAACTGTGACAGCCTCTAGTTAAGCTACTCTAGACCAAATCGCCTATCAAGTACTAGTGAATGGAAAACCCAGCTGGAAATCACGTTCAGAAAGTCCAAAAAAATGCTGTCGTCTCGACAATTAACGATCAAATTCTGCTTGCTTGCCCTTTCACATTTTTCTCCTCACACTTTTCTCCTTTCCACCGTTCGAAACGAGGTCTAAACCAGGCTAGAGAAAGCACTGTAAAATTAGAATTTATGAGATCAATTATTTAAAACCCAATCCCACCAAAACCTTCTTCCAAAAAGTCTACTCTTTCCACCTAAATCGAGAGAGGCGAAAATAAATCTGAACGGACACCAACTGGAACACATCGGGCGTTTGTTAAAAATCATTTTGTTTCTACATTGGGAAGTGGGTAGTAACAAAATACTAATATTTTAATTCGTAAATGTAAACAAGGTGGTACTTGTTTACTTACTAATTGACTTTTAAGAACCTCCTTTTTATTTTACGATTTGTCACAAAATACATGAAACGCCCAACTTTATGATTCACCGAGAATTTATTGGGCTGTAAGCGTATTGGAAGGTTTGTCTTATATATTTCTACTTTTTGTAACAGTTTAATAATTACAGTAAGTACTAAACTGGAAAAAGTCATTCCTCACTTTTTATTGATTCTGAGAAAAGGTGGGATATCCAATATTATTTAATATTGGATACAATATTATTTAATATTGGATAATAATCGTACTGTTGACGAACTGTTTTTTTTTTTTTGGAATATTAGGAACGTGAATCGGGTTCTATGTTAAATTACCTGTGTCGTATAACTTTTGAATAGTGCTGTTATCAAGTCGAGGTTTTTACCGTCGTTGTACTTCGATATTGATATTGACCGATTGCTATTCCGTTTTTTCTGAGCTTTTAAACACGAATAACTTCTTTGGTTGTTTCTATTTTTCTATTCGATCATGTGTTGAGTGAATAGTGGAGCACAACGTCTATCGTCGTCAAAAAGGGTCTGAATATATTCTTTTCATCTCCAATTTCATAAAAATTA